AAAAAAAAAAAGAAAATAAAAAGAAAACAACAACCCGCTCGATTGGCTATCTTCGATCGCTTGTTTTTCCTGGATTAGATCAAATAAGAAATAAAATGCTTCGCTTGGGAAAGTAAATAAATTGGTATTTTTAATCGTATATAATTTAATAACAGGCTTGAGGAAACGGCGTTCTTTGATAAAGAATTAGCAGGGAAAAGAGAGACAGAAGAGGATAATCAAATCAATTGTGATATTTTAAATTACGTGTTCGACGTGTTGGCTGTAAGACGAACAGTTAGCTGTGTACTTATCGATTTCGCCAGTGACATTTACAATAGCCCCGTGTGTTGCCACGAAGGCCGTATTTAACGAATGCTGCTCTGCTCGCGATAAGCTTTGGAAATTGGTTGTGCAGAGCGGTCAATAAATGCCGAGCTTATAGCAATAAAACCTGTCGTAGCTTTACTTTTAATCGATAATTGAAAAGATCAGACAATTGCGTTGTTGCAACGCCAACAAAAAATACAAACGATCCTCTAAGAATCTATTTTTATCAGAAAGCGTGCGTACAAACGTTTTTATAAATTATATAACTATTTCTACGAACATCAATTGGTACACTAAAAATACTACAATTGTAAACGATGCCTGTCGTAAAAAAAAAAATATATATATATATATAATTTCAAATACGTAGCACCGCGAGTCTCTCCGTTGTTAAAAACTACGTTAAAAACGAATGAATTGGGAATATACAGAAACGAACGGTTTTATTTTACAGTCCCACGCCAGTGGTAAAGCAAGATGGATCGGCGAGTGTGGATTAAGTTGCGGCCCCTCCATCGATGAGCCCATGGTGCCCGCGTTGGAAAAGCTGCGAGCTACCTCGTGAACGGCGAACACGTAGAGAGACCGTCGTCGAATACTGTCAACCATGCACAAGACTTAATCCATCACCATCCATATAGCGTCACCCCACCACCATTGTGCGAGTCAGAACCGTGTGAATGTGGATTTTGGATGTATAAATGATACATTATTGTTCCTGGAGGAGCGAGAACGGAGCGGGCAAAACAACATCATCGGACGATGGAGAGCAGCCGTTCTTCTCCTGTGGCTTCCTGTTTGGCGAACGTGGCATTACACCCATGAACGGCTCGACCAGCGACGCGTCTTCACAGAGCTTCAGCGAGGGTCGTTGTTCTCGTTGGTCAACAGTGTGAATCAATACGCGTCACCTGGATTTTTAAAAACAAAGCGAGACAGCTACTACCGCGTGGAATTTCCGCTACTTGACGAATTGCTTCTTTGGTAGATTTATGTAATCAGCAAAAGTAGTATGATGCAACACACCGCGTTCAATCTCTTTGTATTGCTGAAAAATTTCGAACGACAGTTTGGCAGATAGATGTGTACATACGTCGAATCACCGTGTCTTTGAAACTCTTCTGCGAAAAGCGTATGCGTTGATTTTAATTGACCGACAAATGGTACAATACATTTATTAATACAATTATGTATGTATTTGGGAACATTTATGAGGGTTGTAGTTAACAACATTTCGTTGATATTCAATTGGTAGATATTCCGGCTAATTGGCAGATATTGGTGCAATTGTTGTTTGAATTTCAGCACATAAGTTTTTACATACGTTTCGGTATTTCGAGAGAAAAGGTATATTTGCGCGAGACGGTAGTAGAGCGTGAACAAGTAGTTTTAAAATGCGCACACGCGCGTGTTGTACATCACGGTTTTACGGATCTGTAATTAGTATTCTTACGTTTACGGAAAATTACAGTCTAGCCTTTTTCTTTTATTAGCCAACGTAAATTTGGTCTCGAAAGGAATGCAGCACAATGTTCGAGGTTTAAGTAACATTTTACGCGATTAGAATTACGAATTTTCTCTTCGTCGGGTCAATTTGTAAAAAGTTGGTATCTTGGATCAAAATGTAGTTCAAAAGGAAAAGATTAGTATTTGAAAGAATGGCGTATGTATTTGTTAATACAACAGGAAGAGTTTACTGAATCAAAATTAGAAGTTAAATTGAAAGCTGAGAGAATTATAACTCTCTCGAAAGTAATATGCATTATATTCAAATAATAGTTTGAGAGTTGTGAAAAATCTACAGTATAACGCGCAAGGGGAGTTGTTAAAAAATTCGAAGACGTATTAACTTCATGCAAAATTAGGCGATCTAACTAATCTGCGTTATTAAATTATAAATTAATTATATACGATGCAATCGCTTACAAATGTGATTGAAAACTCGTTTACCAAGAATTTACAAAAACTTCTGAATATTGTACTAAATAAAATACGTCTTCGATTGCACTTTTAAATGTTGGTGCTAAGTGCCAAGAACCACAAAAATTAGCCTAAGAAGCAGAACTGTGAAAAAAAAACTGGTTGAAATGTAGGAGCTAGTGAATTGAACTTCTTTTTACGAGTTAAAAATACATCCACATACAAGATTCCAATTTTTAATTTGTCAAGTAAAAAAAAAAAAAAAAATAGCATATAATACGCATCACTCTCTATTTACTGTTTTTCACGTAATAATGTTTCTACTCGGTTTTAGTTAATGTACATGTAGCTTATATGAGAGAAACGATCAAAGAGAAGCATTTATGTTGGTGCCAATAATTTTATTGAATTTGTACAATTTCATTCGTTTTTTAAAACACTCAACAAAACATTTGTAATGTTAGTTTTTTTTTGAAATGATTGTATAATTTATGCACGATTTATTTCTGAACATATCTGTTGTGTATCTTTTGATGGTGCATTATTTTGTATGTAAGAACATGTTCATCAAGTTCATGCTCATTTTAAATTAAACTGTAACTCGTAAACATTTTCTGAAGTATTAGTCTAGCTGCGCGAGCTTTAGTTTAATGCTTTAGAAAATACGTTTGGTAGTAATTTTTATTTAATCCGTAAAATTCTTATTTATGACCAGAACATTAAAATTATTATTTTTATTATTATGATGGGTTTAATAAACGATATTCGTCAAAAAGTTGTTTTTTTTTTATAAACGCAAAATCTCAATAAATAAATACAAGACATAAACATATAATGCAATCATAACCCGGGAAAAATAACATTTCAGGTATAAGATATGCACAATTTACACAATAGAATAATTTTAATAAAAAATAAAGTAGTGAATAAAAGGATGTACGAAGTTCTCTCTTTTATTGACAATCTTATGTACATTTTATCGTGCTGTGTAGCACGTCCATTCAAGTTAAATTACAGTACATAATTTCATTTATGTTCAATTTCTGATTTCAAAATTAAATTGTATGTTTCACGAAATATAGTACGATAAAAATAATACACAACTGCAACAGACAAGGTAGAAACAGACTGATCAGCTAAGAAGACACTAATCATGCTATATATTGAATGCTGAAATAAGTACTGACACTCCAAACTATTATGCTACGTTAGAAAAGGAAAAATCTTACTGTCAAATATCAAATACTGAAGAGTTTTGAACACAAATACATTAAACCTAGTTATTGCGCTTCGTCAAGACTGTTTCTACATTGATCCGCGAACGTTAAGTATATAGCCGCATTGAAAGTGGCATATTTTTGTTGCACAACCTTTTAGGGAGTATTAAATCATGGATTATCGTACAAAATATCTCCATTAAATAGCTTTTAATATTATTGAATAGAATTTGCAAAACTGTTCGGTAGAAAAAGGTATTGCTCCGACTGACAATTACGCAAGGAGAAATACTGAAAAGATTGCATAGAGGTAGGGACAATGTTCCTCCATAAAAGATCTGTGCGTGAAATTATTTGCTGCCTGAATCACGCTAAAATATTTTACTATTTAGTTTACGTAAACGTAACATTGATTTGCTAGGAGATCGGTCAAACTCTTCTTTGAAATAATGAAGATAATCTCAGCACCATTATCCTACAAGGACAACTAATCTTGCTTGCAACGTGTGCAAGTATTGACAAGAATTACACTTTGGTGCACATGGTTCACGTGCAATAATAAATAAAGTTGCTGTATTGTAATGATAGGATATCGGTAACTTCTTCTTGTCGGTTGTGTTCCGTCCTGTGCAAAAATAAGACAGTTGCA